TTCAAGAAGGTTTACAATGTGGAAACATTGCGTCGCTTCCCTTCGAGAGAACTGCGCCCGCGTGCTCCTCCGGCCGCGCAGCCGCCTGATCCACGGGAAGGGGCGGCGTTCCATCGACTGCCCCCGATGGGCGATGCGAGGCCGTTAACCAGGAAACGCCCAGTGGTGCCCAAGGAGAATATGTTTCGCTTGGAGCAGGTCTATATCTGTCTTCAGCTCGGTTGTTATTGTACAACCTACAGGGGGGCGCAGAAGGATACGAAGAAGAGGTCAACGTACCTGTAGCCAGTGATTTCGTACGACCGTGGCGAATGACCGAATGCTGCGCTGCGCGTCGATTTGCGCACTCCCAAACAGGGCGCATATTCGCGCTGGGCCGACGCATTCAAACGCAACGCTCCTGCAGAGATCTTGGCCCACGAGAAAAGAATCTGTGAATGGCGGTGCCAAGCTGAGATAAACGAGGGCGCGAGGGATTCGCCTGAGGGGCCCGACAGTCCGTCGCGCATGTCTGTGCGCTTAGATCGCTTTCGGGTTGCAGGAGGTAAGTTCTCTGCGGCGGAAATGGAAGTTGACTCGGCTCGCCCTGGAAACGAGCTGGGGCAGTCCTCCGCAGCAGGCGCGGGAGGGGAGGGGCAAGGCTACGCCGCTGCCTCCCCGCCCGTTCCTTCACCCCCGGACGCTGTCGCGGATGCTCAAGGTCAGGGGCCCATCGAGGGTGCAAGACCCAGGCAAGGGCAGCCAGCCCGCAAGAAAGAACCAGAAACGGTCGGTTTGGGCGCGCCTGATGAAGAAGACCCTCCGCCTCCCGGCGGCCAAGCGAGGCCCCGGATCCAGGCCGCGCTAAAAGTTCTAGCGGAAGAAGAGGAATCGGAAGAGGACGAGCCCAGCGAACCAGAGGATAAGGTCGAGTCGAGTGAACCAGAACATGGGCAGAACAATGAAGCGGACAAACCTCTAGAGGTTATATCTCGCAGGAGTCCGCCTGATTTGATGTCCTTGGACGTGCTCTCTGACAAGCTCCCTCGCGCTTTCATGTCGCAGTGCTTCTGTCTCAGTGGGGCTGCTGCGCCTCTCGAGAGTGAACAGATCTCAATCGATGCGCACAAGCAGAGGAAGAGGGATTTAGGAGAAACAGCACATGTTGGGCTCGAGCACGCGTCTCGAACCTGGCGAGCCGTTCATCGAGGATGGGGGCGACGGGGCGCTGCGCGCTCTCCTCGTCGAGCTGGCGCGGAGGCTGGAAGAATGCCGCGACGCTGGCCCGGGGCCCTTCGAGGAACGTGAGAAGAGACACAGGGGATACGCGAGAAAGGACCTTTGAGTGGGCGCGAGGTTTGGTTGGCGACCAATTACTTCAGTTCCTTCGTAGTCTGACTGCTGACGATGCCGCGAAAGCTAGATTTTTTCTTCGCGCCCGATTCAACACTGCCGAACCCTGCTGTCTCCCGTCCCCAGGGCCCCGCCTTATCCCGATGGATTGCATCAGTGAACGACGCTCAGTACTGTGGTACTCGGGAGTGGACGTGGAGGAATCTGGACGCCTAGGCTCGCTCATCGTCAACTTGGATGCGCAGCGCGGCCCATGTCCGCAGCTCAGGTGGGTGGATTGAAGCGCGCGTCATCGTCAAGATTGTGAGCGACGAGGGGCGCGACCGAGCGCGGGCACGCTTCGTGCGTGCCCTCGCACAACTTCTTCCCGACACGGTTCAGGCCCCCGGCGTGGATATGACAAACGCGAGCACGGGTCCGACCGCCGAGCACCATTATTGGGAGGACAATTTCGGGCGCGCCCCAAGGAAAGAAGACCGCGCTAATGAGGGGGTCCATGTCTTCCCGCCTCTAGCTAGAGCGCCGTTGATGTTTCGCGCCTGCAAGGGTCGTTCCGTTCGGGTTATAGAGCCGAAACTCGCGTGCATCCTGTGCGAAGCGGCTGCGAGATGTTCCCGGCAGGCCATTGTCATTCCCCTGGACGACGCTGCCATGAAGCGGTCTATGACCGGGCGCCTCGAAGCACCGAAGAAAGACCTTCAGGGGATTCGACAGCATAGGTGTATACTTGTTTTCTGGCAGACATTTGGCCGCATGCCGCACTCGACGAACCAGTTGTAAGGAGCGGCGAGCGGGGTGCCCTCGGAGCACAGACAGTTTTCGAGAAGATTCAGATTTGCGAGAACGGCGAAACAAACGGAAAGCTGCCAAGGTGGTTCAGACGGGGTGGATGGGCAAGAGCGGTGGCTGGACAGGATTTGGATGCCAGCGTCTTCGGACTCGATGACCCGCATCGGTTGTCCGACATGCGTGCGGTTACCTTCCAGCCCCGTCTCTTTGAGGACCAGGATGTCTGGATGCTGCGCGACGGCACTTTGGTGATTATTTTTCGCCCTATGTGGATTGATATCCACCGAAAAATGTGGCCTACTGTGCCGGGCATTCAGCGTGCGCGGGCATCTTGGACGTTGGTCTATGACCGACGGTTCGCGGACCTGCTGAACTATCCCGAGCTCGGTGCGGCTTGCATTGTTTTCGCGAAGCAGAACTGTAAGATGCGCCGCCTGCCCAACCAGGGCGACGGCGAGGAACTTGCTCCCGCGGACAAGAAGGACGCGCTATGCGCGCTTCACTTGTGGGAAGACGGATACCGCCAGTGCTGCAAATATTGCCGTAATCGGGTCGGGACGCCGATGCGCTTCACATGTCGGACTGCAGCGCAGTGCGGGGCCCGCATTGTCGACGCTGGGCAAATCAAGCCGGAGGTCGTCTACAATGATTTTGGCTTCAAAACCGGGGTCCGTCAGGGCGACGCCCACGACTTCGTGCTTAAGAGATGGGCTGGGGCAGGCGCTGGTCGTGTCCAACGCAGGGCGCGCGGGGAATGGCTGGAGACCCATGCGGGGGCGATTGCCCAACGTAGGGAAACCGCTCTCCAAGGTAAGACTGCACTCCATAGCAACACCATGACGGTCTCATGTCCAGAAGACGAAATGCCTCCGCCGCAGGACCCCATACAAGCTCGAGAAGACGAGAAAGCTGGCTCGGAGGTTTATCCGTTTCCAGAGTGAACACCTCAGCGCGCCAGCGACAGGGGGGGGGGGTGCGTCGGCCCCCCGGAAAATTGTGGCCATGCATCAGCAGGAGGGTGATGGAGGAGGAGGGCTATTCCACACTGGACCCCTTCCGAGAGACGCCAAGCTGCGGTTGGTCCGTGTGGTGCAAGACGGCTCCAGGCGCGAAGGACGTCGAGCCGCTCGCCAGACTGAAGGCTACCATGCCGGCGGAGATTGGGGAATGCTTGCCTCGGGCCGAGTTTCTTGGGGCCCCTCCGCCTAGGGGGCGGCCCACGTACTCGGGTGCGCCAGCTGTCTGTGTCGGTGGAGCATCGGTGCGCGAGCCATCTGCCAAGGGTGCCATGCGGCCTCATTCCGCGCAGCCTGAGGGCCGCCCCAAGGCAGCGAGGACGGGGGGCGACGGCGCGAGGAAAGGGAAGGACAACGCAAGCAGTGGCAAAGGAACGAAGAGGGCAAGCAGCCGAGCGCCAGATGACCAACAAGAGCCCAGGCGGCGCCGCACTGAGAACCCGACGCAGTGGGATGCTCCGCGCAGTTCCGGGGCAGCCTCCTCTGGTTACACGCCGACTGCGCGTTCTCCCGCCGCCCGCGACGTTCGCTACCAGGGTGCTCCATGGCGCCAGTATGCAGACGCGCCGCGGCGCAGGGCATGGCGCGCGAGTGACGGCACAGAGCAGCAGACAACGGACTCCTCAACCCCACGGCAGGACAACGCCACAGACTGGTGGTCATCGTGGACATGGAGCTCGGACAGCTGGCACAACGACAGCTGGAGCTCCCGCGACCGCTGGCGGTGGTGCGCGGAAGAGAACGAGAGGGGGACAGCGGCTATGCCGACGCGTCCCCCTCGAGGCGAATGATGGCGGCTCAACTGCGTCCGCTTGGGATGGTTGGGTCGCCGTGAGGTAAGGATGCCATGCGCCTGCGTCGCGTGCGCGGCGAGCCAGTCTGAGGCCAGACTGCCGGGCGCCGCATGTTCCGACGCTTTCATGAACAATGTGGGGCGATACCAAACTCATATTCGCCCGCCCGCGCGAGCTGAACTCGCCGGGCCGGCCGCGGGGGGAGTTGATTTAGTTGTCCCCCCGAGCCTACTTCTGACTCGCAGCGTCGTCGCAGCTGCTGCGCGTTGGCTCGAGAGAAAAGCGCGCGCCTGCCCGCCCTTCGGCCAGCCGGCCCTACCGCTTAGCAGTTTCTAGTGAGTTCGAAGCTTAACGGGCACCCTACCACATTGATTTCGCCATGGCATGGAGGGGCGCATCACGCCCATCACCTACGTTGAAGGTAAGCCTGAGTAAGAAGCTCCTACCGACATAAGATGATGATAAAGGATTTCAGCACGAACATGATCGCATGTTGCTTACCAACACCGCCAAGGATAAGCCCAGATCAACAAATAATTGGCAACGTACTCTTTCGGATTTGCCATCGGGGGCCTATCGCCGACCCATCGGCGAGGCATCGCCTATAACAGGTCGACGTTTCCTTGTCCGACGCCCCCCACCCCCCCCCGGGCCAGTCGACAGAGGGGGGGGGGCGCGCGCAGCGCAGCGCGCCAGCCGCCAGTCGCCATGGACTCCCACGAGGTTGGGTGCCTGGTCGGTGTCGGCCGCAGTGAAAGGCACTGCGCGGAGGGACCGCACCGCCGCCGCGCGGACGCCGCGGTCGTCCCAGAGTTCGCCGACCATCAGGGTTTAGCGTTGCGTGGCCCAGGATCGCTCGCTCCTCCCCCCGAGCCGCTCCCTCCCCCGCTACCCCAGGCACCTGGCGCTCCAAGTTTGTTCGACGCCTGGACCCCCGGAGGTCTAGACAACTTCCCTGTGGGGCCAGGGTTTCGTCGTCAGTCTGCTTTCGACGGTCCCGGGGCCCGCGGAAGGTCCTTGAGGACCGAAAATCTAGGCCCCAAACCAGTCGCACGGACATTTGTGGGAGCGTCGGATATCGTTGCCCCTCGACATCTGGGGCTCTTGGGAGAACGTCCGGCACGAGGCCTGCGGCGCCCTCGCGGCCGAGCTGGCGGCCGGCGCCGCCCAGAAGCTGCGCGGCATGACCGCCGGGGGCCCCGTGCCAGGCGGCAGGCAGCTTCCGCTGCCTGACGGGGCCCTCCGCGAGGTTCGAGGCGCAGAGCACATTTATTGGTGCCACCCCAACATAGTAATTCATTCTACGCGCGCGTCCCCTCCCGGGGGCGACGCGCGCACCGAGAGCTCTTATAGTATATGCGTCGTGGCGTGCGTTTTCTGGCAACACCGTTCGGGAAACGATATACTACAGGATGGGTATACTATATGTTCGGGTCGGACGCGCACCCCCTGGCGCACCCCGTGGCGTCAACGCCCTGGTCCGCTGCCCGCCGCCCGCGACGTTCGCTACCAGGGTGCTCCATGGCGCCAGTATGCAGATGCGCCGCGGCGCAGGGCATGGCGCGCGAGTGACGGCACCGAGCAGCAGACAACGGATTCCTCAAACCCATGGCAGGACAACGCCACAGACTGGTGGTCATCGTGGACATGGAGCTCGGACAGCAGGCACAACGACAGCTGGAGCTCCCGCGACCGCTGGTGGTGGTGCGCGGAAGAGAACGAGAGGGGGACGGCGGCTATGCCGACGTGTCCCCCTCGAGGCGAATGATGGCGGCTCAATTGCGTCCGCTTGGGATGGCTGGGTCGCCGTGAGGTAAGGATGCCATGCGCCTGCGTCGCGTGCGCGGCGAGCCAGTCTGAGGCCAGACTGCCGGGCGCCGCATGCTCCGACGCTTTTATGAACAATGTGGGGCGATACCTAACTCATGTTCGCCCGCCCGCGCGAGCTGAACTCGCCGGGCCGGCCGCGGGGGGAGTTGATTTAGTTGTCCCCCTGGGCCCACTTCTGACTCGCAGCGTCGTCGCAGCTGTTGCGCGTTGGCTCGAGAGAAAAGTGCGCGCCTGCCCGTCCCTCGGCCGGCCGGCCCTTCCTCTAGTGAGTTCGAAGCTTAACGGGCACCCTACCACATTGATTTCGCCATGGCATGGAGGGATGCATCACCTCAATCACCTACGTTGAAGGTAACCCTGAATAAGAAGCTCCTACCAAAAGAAGATGATGATAAAGGATTTCAGCACGAACATGATCGCATGTTGCTTACCAACACCGCCAAGGATAAGCCCAGATCAACAAATAATTGGCAACGTACTCTTTCGGATTTGCCATCGGGGGCCTATCGCCGACCTATCGGCGAGGCATCGCCTATAACAGGTCGACGTTTCCTTTTCCGATGCCCCCCCCCCCCCCCGAGCCAGTCGACAGAGGGGGGGGGGCGCGCGCAGCGCAGCGCGCCAGCCGCCAGTCGCCATGGACTCCCGCGAGTTTGGGTGCCTGACGGCGTCGGCCGCAGTGAACGGCGTTGCGCGGAGGGAACGCGCCGCCACCGCGCGGACGCCGCGGTCGTCCCGGAGTTCGCCGACCATCAGGGTTTAGCGTTGCGTTGCCCAGGATCGTTCGCTCCTCTCCCCGAGCCGCTCCCTCCCCCGCTACCCCAGGCACCTGGCGGTCCAGTTTTGTTCGACACGTGGACCCCCGGAGGTCTAGACAACTTCCCTATGGGGCCAGGGTTTCGTCGTCAGTCTGCTTTCGACGGTCCCGGGGCCCGTGGAAGGTCCTTGGGGGCCGAAAATCTGGGCCCAAAACCAGTCGCACGGACTTTAGTGGGAGCGTCGGATCTCTGGGATCGTTGCCCCTCGACATCCGGGGCTCTTGGGAGAACGTCCAGCACGAGGCCTGCGGCGCCCTCGCGGCCGAGCTGGCGGCCGGCGCCGCCCAGAAGCTGCGCGGCATGACCGCCGGGGGCCCCGTGCCAGGCGGCAGGCAGCTTCCGCTGCCTGAGGGGGCCCTCCGCGAGGTTCGAGGCACAGAGCACACTTATTGGCGCCACCCCATCATAGTAATTCATACTACGAGTGCGTCCCCTCTCGGTGGCGACGTGCGCACCGAGAGTTCTTATAGTATATGCGTCGTGGCGTGCGTTTTCTGGCAACAACGTTCGGGAAACGATATACTACAGGATGGGTATACTATATGTTCGGGTCGGACGCGCGCCTCCAAGGCAGGCATATAGTCGTAGTATGTGTTTGTGCGTCCCAACCTTAGCCAAGAACATGTTCATAAAACCATGTGATGTTTGTCCACCGCGGAGAGGCAGGTGGCGGTCCAAACGCTGTGGGTGTAATTGTTTCAACGCGCGCCGTCAGGAAAACCAGCTGGAACATGATACGATACGTTGCCCTGTGGCACTTCTGCGAAGCCCCTCTGGACAGGGCCCAATAGCGTATCTTCGCGCGGTGCCCAATGTAGTCTTCGCGACACCCACTTAGTGGAATTATTTGTGATTTTTTTAGTGGGATGCTTTTTGACCGACGCCCCTGCCGAATTGCAAGAAGTGCGCCGTCCAACATTCCGTTTGCAAGCGAACTTCGTACCAATGCCCCGCTAGAGCTGACATTTTCCATGGCTTGTTTTCGCTGGCGGGTATAAATCGCCCAGCGCCTCTGCTAAACAAGTATATGTCCAACTAGACATTGCGCTTCCAACGTATTTTGTCGCGGCGCATTTAGCAGGTGACCCTACCCGTTCCTCCTTTCGCATGTTTGAACTTCCTGGGAGGCCCTCGTCGCCACGGTTGGATGCGCTTCGAAATCTTTGTCAGAACGAGGCGCCAAAGGCGCCGCTCGGTGGTGCGCCAGCCGTCGATCCAAGACCGTGCCGAGCTGCGGAAGTTTATGTCTGTGCAGGTTTTGTTCCTCTAGAGGTGCTGGAGGAGCTGTGGCAGGAACTGCGGGCCGAGTGGACCGACCGGGCGCTCGGCGACGAGGAGATCCAGGACGCACACTGGCGGGATCTGCAGCAGGCCGTGGAGGACCAGGAGCTGCTGGTGCTGCAGCAGATCTGGTGCTGCTAGAGAGGCATCCCTCGCCCAAGGTCTGCCCAGGATCTCCGAGGGGCGCCCGCGCGCCTTACAGAGCGCCCCTCGCGAGACCCAGAGGGCCCCGACGGGCCCCCCAGATGGAATCTCCAAGGGAGGCCACGCGCCTTCCAGGGCGCCCCGCGTTCCCAGAGGGCCCGGCGGGCCCTCGGCTGGAGCGAAGAGCTGGGGGCACCTCTGGGCCGGGTGCACCTTCCCAGCGGCCCCCGAGCGGAATGCCCGCCTGTTGGAGGGCAGGCAGGCGGTGGAGAGGTCGGCGCTGGCGGAGCAGGCCGCGCAGGGCGAGCTGCGGTCGAAGGGGCACGAGCTCGAGGACCTGCGCGCGCAGCTCTCGGCGGCGCACCTGCGTGTCGAGGAGGGGCGGGCCCGCGAGGCAGGGCTGGTCCAGAAGCTGGAGGCGGCCGTGGCGGACCTCGACGCCGCGCGCCGGCGCGAGACGGAGCTGGGCGAGCAGCTGCGGAAGCACCATCGGGGGCAGGAGAAGGAGCCGATGCCGCCGCTCGACCTCGGGAGCCCTCGTCGCCACGGCCTGGTGCTCCTCGTGTTGGTGTTGGTGGGGCCCTCGTTTCGGCATTGTTGGGCCTCCCAGGAGGCCCTCTTCGCCAAGGCTGGGCTCTCCTCGATCGAAGTCCTGGTCACAAGGCGCACCGTGAGAGGTCCGGTGACGTAGCGGTATCGGTATATCCTTATGCTCCCCCACGCCAGAACCACGAGGCGTGCTTGCGCGGCGAGCTCGACGCCATGCGGAAGGGGCTGGAGTCGCTGAAGGGCGCCCTGGCGGCGTCGGGCGAGGAGAAGGGCCAGCTGGAGCTGCAGCTGGACGGCGTGCGTGGCGAGGCGAGGCGGCGCCAGGAGGTGCTGACGGGCGAGGCGGAGCGGTTGCGGAAGCAGGACGTCGAACAGGTGCGGCTGATGGACGAGGCCCGGGGCCGCGCGGACGCGGAGAGGCGGAACTTGGCGCGTGCGTTGGAGGAAGAATCCTGCAAGCGGATGGAGGACGCCCGCAGATTGGGGGAGCTGGAGGTCCAGGTGGAGCAACGGCAGGAAGCGGGATCGACTGCGCGGACATTCGCGCGCCGGCTGCCCGCGTAAGGTGGCGCAGGAGTGCCTTGGTTGCCACGCGCCGTGCCGCGCTGGAGGCCCGCATAGGCCACCGCATAAGGTCGCCACGTCGTCGTCGTCGTCGTCGTCGTCGTCGTCGTCGTCGTCGTCGTCGTCGTCGTCGTCGTCGTCGTCGTCGTCGTCGTCGTCTCTGGGACCATACCATCTGGGGAGGGGGGGGGGGCCCGAGGAATCCTGGGACCATACCATCTGGGGGGGGGGGGGCCCGTGGGCCCTCGACCCTGGATCATATATGCCCCACGCTTTTCTCGTCGCTCAGGTGGAGACCTCCGAGCTGCAGTGCAGGCAGCTCCGCCGGCGCATGGAGGAGCGGGACGCGCAGGCGCACGAGTCGGAGCAGGAGCTCTACCGGCTCCGCGCGGAGGCCGAGCAGTTGCGCGGGGCCGTCCAGAAGGCCGAGCAGGACACCGAAGCGAGGTTGAGGCAGCAGATGCTGAACTTCGAGAGGCTCAGGGGAGGGAGAGATGCCGATACCGGTCCTTGTTCTGGAGAGCCCTCATCGCCACGGCGGGATTATCCTTGAAATTCTGGTCAGAACGAACCCCAGGAAAGGTCCGGGGAGTAGCGGCACACATATGTTTATATGTATATGTATATACATATATATATTATGTGTGTGTGCTTTGTGGTTCCCCCAGAGGCGGCTGTCGCTAGAGGCCCAGAGGGCACAGAGGCTGGAGAAGCAGCCTGGCTGCTGCGCGCTGCGGTGGGGACGCGGCTAATTGCTCGACGGGTGCCAGTGCAGCCCAGCGGCATATTGTGGCCCACGACGTTCTGCAGTGCACCCAGAGGCCCCAGCCTGCACAAATGCAAGCGACGGCGACCATGGAAGTTCGGCCGACAGCTGCAAAAACGTGTTCGCACATCGAGGACGGGGGGGAAGGCTGAAGGACGAACCCGCGCTTCGTCTGCGTGCGCAGGTATTTCTTTGCATGTTGTCCCTGGCCCTGGACTTCCTGTGAGCCCGGGAGTCGCAGCCAACAGCGGTTGTGCGAATTGCAAAGCGGTCGTCCTGAGCAGCAGTTGACCAATACCGCCCGAAGGCGCGTTGGAGCGGCTGCACGCAGTGTTTTTTTTTGGAGATGTCGTAGTCCATGGGAGGGGTAACTTCGGCGTCACCCCAACCTACTTAAACTATGTGTGCGTCGCCGTATACTATGTGTGCGTCGCCCCCACAGGGGCGACGCGCCCATCGAGAAATCTTATAGTATATGCGTCGTGGCCACACCGCTTTGGAAACGATCTACTACAAGGTTGGTGTACTATATGTTCGGCTCGGCTTCGCGCCTCCAAGGCAGACGTATAGTACTAGTATGTCTCTGTGCGTCCCACAATTCTGTCATGCCCGGTCCTTTCGAGGGAGAGGTTTTTTTCGTACAGAAGATGATGCCCTTTGGGAACCCATCCAGAATTCGCGGTGCTGGTCCATAGGTCTGGTTATTGCCAGTTCGTTTAGACGGTGGCTCCGTGGATGGGGTATATACGAGTTGCCGATCATGCCGTGGATGCGATGGCCCTTGGCAGTCTCCATTGGTTTCGGAGCCGCTCGATGGTGATGGTCATACTTTCTTGCTCTGGCCTGGCCGCTTTTGGCCCCGTTGGGGAAACAGCCTCCGAGATTGGCGTGGCCCAGTGCTGGCCACACGGCCTCGCGGTTCCTCATGGTCGTGGCCATGTTGGGAGGGTGGGCCTCCTTGTGTTCCTCCTCCTGCAGGCCCTCTCTGGCACGCGACCGTTCGACAGGACGCGCTTGATTGTTCGCGTGTGGCGAAACATCGAGCGGGGCGTCAAGATTTGAAACAGACCAAGAAGACGCACTATTGCGTCAACATTCGAAACGAACCAATGGGACGCGTTTCTGCAGCTGGTACTACGAGTACAACTGTGAATATGCTTAAACATGTCTACACCTACTACTGCTACCTACTACTACTACTACTACTACTACTACTACTACTACTACTACTACTACTACTACTACTACTACTAGTACTACTACTACTACTACTACTACTACTACTACTACTACTACTACTACTACTACTACTACTACTACTACTACTACTACTATACCTACTACTACTACTACTACTACTACAGGTACTGTTTGTACTACTGGTACAACGACGACGACTACTACTACTACTACTACTACTACCACTATTACCACTATCACTACCACTACCATTTCCATGACGACGACTACTACGACGACTAATACTACAACTACGAGTATTTCGACTACCTATACTTAGATTGTTGCGATTACGATAATGATTACGACCACGACCACTAGGACTACGACGGTAATACGACGACTACTACGAAAACGACTCCTACTACTACTACTACTGCTACTACCACTACCTGCTACTACCACTACTGCGACTACTACCACGACGACGACTACTACTAATAGTATTTCCACTGTTGCTACTACTACTACTACTACTACTACTACTACTTTTACTACTACTACTACTACGTTCACTACTACTACTACTACGACTGCTACTACTACTACTACTACTACTATTACTACTACGACTGCTACTACTACTACTACTACTACGAACATTATTATTACTACTACTACTACTATTTCTGTTATTGCTGATACTACTACTACTACTACTACTACGACTACTACTACTACCACTGCTTCTACGACTACTACTACTACTACTACTACTCCTGCTTTTACTACTACTACTACTACTACTACTACTACTACTACGGCTACTACTACGATTACTACTGCTACTACTATCACTACTGCCACTACTATTATTTCTACTACTACTACTACTACGACTACTACTACTACTACTGCTACTACTACTACTACTACTACTACTACTACTGCTGCTACCACTACTACCACTACTACAATTCGTACCGCTACTAGTTTAATTACCTCTACTATTACTACGACTACTATGAGTACTACTACCACTATTACTACTACTTCTACGTCGGCCGTGACTCCTACGATTCCTATGGTTACGATAGCGGGTACTACCACCACCACCACTACTACTACGACTACTACTACTACCACTACCACTACTACTACTACTACTAGTACTATTACTACTACTACGACTACTACTACTACTACTACTACTACTACAACTACAACTACAACGGCACCTACTACTATGGCTACTATCATTGCTAGTACTACTACTACTACTACTACTACTACTATTTTTCCTACTCCTATGACGACTTACTCATATTACTACTACTACTACTACTACTGATGCTACTACTGCTGCTACGACCATCAGTGTCAGTATTTCTTTTACTACTACTACTACTACTAATACTACTTATGATACTATTACTTTATTGTTATTACTACTACGGCCACTCTGACTAGTATTATTCATCATTACGATTACCACTACGACAAGCATTTCATCCTTATGGTTACCATTTGTTTATTACGATTACTACTACTACTACAACTATTACTACTTCTACTATTCTTATTTCTACTACTACATCACTGCTACTGCTACTACTACTACCACTATCACAACGACGCGCACTACTAGTATTACCACCACTACTACTACTTCCTTTACTACTACTGTACTACTACTACCACTACTACTACTACTACTACTACTACTACTACTACTACTACGATTACTACTACTAGGTCGACTACTACTAGGACTACTGCTACTACTACTTCACTATCGACAATAAATCCTACTACTACTTTTACTACAAGTACTACTACCACTACTACTACTACTACTACTACTACTACTACTACTACTACTACTACTACTACTACTACGACTACGACTACGACTACGACTACGACTACTACTACTACTACTACTACTACTACTCCTACTACTACTACTACTACTACTGCTGCTGCTGCTGCTGCTGCTACTACTACTACTACTTTCCACTACTACTGCTCGTACCACGAACAGGGTGGATTATCACACATCCATCATGTAATGGGGTAAGGGTTCGGATCCGGCCTCGGTGTTTGCGTCCAGCGCGCCGTTCCGATATAAGGTTGTTCGAGTGTGACGGTTCTGTTTCATTCGACCTGCAATCAACTATGCCCATCGGGCTCCTATTGCAAATCGGTACTTCTGCAGTGCTATAGCAGCGAGCGAATATAGGTATTGAGCTACTATTTGGAACAACGTCTTCGATTGATTTCCACACGCAAGCAGTATTTACATGGAGGCACGATTAGGAGCAATTATTTTTTCGATTGGGTCCGGATTGGCACAGGCTCGTACTGCTGTGTTCTTACAGGAAGCACGTAGTTCTAGTGAGTTCCTATGGGGACATTCAGAAGTTCTACTCAAGTCCAACATTACGTTTGAGTTCACGCTGCGAACAGATATGCTTATTGAGTCTCCACCAGAAACAATATTAATTTTGGCGGGCGTGGACCCCGAATAATTGTTTTACCATAGGACACCTGAGGTGCGCGCGAAACGCCTCAAGGTTGTTTTCTTGAGCGGCAGCGTGAGGTAACTGCTGGAGTCGCGAGCTAGCGAATCAGCGGCGCGTGGAGATACTATCGGCGAGAATCTGCGTTTGAAAGCAGGCGCGAGGTGCGGGGCAGCTGTGCTTCATTGGCCGAGTGGATGGGGGTGCGCCCGAGCTTCGAAGCCACCGTCTGCTCAAAAGGGAACTTCTTCACGCTTCTATATGCCTCGAACCATAGCCCGGGCCCGGCGCCTTCGGAACCGAAACGCTGCAAATTAGATGAGCATTCGTCGGGGAACATTGCGTTCAGCCACGGTTATGGCATTCCTGCAGTGATTTCACCAAACATGTCTATGATATTCGCAACTGACACACATTGTGGGCCTTTGGTTCGGGGTGTCACAAATTGTCAGCCGAACCTTGAGCTGTTCCCAACCGACCGTCGCATGGGATCTTTGTCATCTTGGCGAAAAGGCGGAAACCATCCCAGATATTGATCATTCGGTGCATTGGCGACTACGGAATCTGAATGAAATGATTGACCACGCCGTTAACTACATCATTGACTCAAAGATGTATGTTCACATGCGTTTCCGTTGTCAGAGAGTCGGCCCAGCCTGAAGTCTGCGAATTTGCTTTAGCATTTGGACGGCGACACCCTGGCGTGCTCTTCCTCGTCGGATGGTTGGTATCTTGACTCCGCGGCTATCCACGGGCGCACTCTGGTCGCCAGGGCCGGCGCTTTTCTACAGCACCCACTGAAATCTGATGAAGTTGAAGCCGTTGTTCACGATGCGGCTGTCGAGGCTACGCCACAGTGCATGGCTCAGCGCATTCGGCCGTCAGCGCGCTGGCTTAAGCTCCGACATAGAAAACTGGCGCGAACTGCGGCCGTCGGCACATTACGGGACTACGGTGCTTCGCGGGCGGACGCCGTTCAGTGGCGCGAGGGGAAGCAGCAGAAATAGTTCGACGCAAAGTTGGATCGCACGCGGACTGAGGACCCTCATGGCGACCCCAAACACACGAAGCATCAGGCGCCTCTCTTTGCTGTGTCGCGGTGTAGATGCGGATGTGACTCGCTTCTGTGCAATTACTGTACCGTCGAGAACATTGAACGTCAGGGCCAGCTCCCTTATTCAGCATGCTTGACAGCGGCGCGACGAAATATGGGCGACGCCTTTTTTAATCTGATATCCCCCTCCTACGATCTCGTGTGCTGGTCCAACAAGAGATTGGGCTGGCA